GAATTTCCAAAAATCCCGTCTTAGTGGATCTATTTGGCGGGAGACCAACCTCCTGTCCAAATTTCAGCTCTTTAGCTTCAACCGTTTAGGCTGTGCGATGATGAATCAGTCAGTGAATCAGTCAGTCAGTCAGTCAGTAACGTTAGAATTTTATATATATAGATGAAGCATTCCTTTTCGGCAATGTTTTGATGGTGGGTATACAAGATTCGGCACAGCCGAATATAACACTATTACTTGTTCTGATTCTCTTTGTCGAACTGCAGGGCATATACACTAAAGTTAAACACATACATATATGCTATGTATTTATGTGTGTAGTTTAGATAAGGAATATAAGCAGATAAACAAATGTGTTGAAACAATTATTGTCTGTCAAAATTGACAATATTGTATGTAATTGTTTTAGTAATTGCACTAGTTCTTATTGAAATGTGTATAGGACAAAATTAATTATATGCAAAGGATTTAGACAGGACAGTATTATAAATGTTCATTAAACATTTAGCAAATCACTACTTTAATGCTTTAGAATAGAAATAAGCATTAAGAGTAAACATTTAACTGTTTGTACATTTATTTTAATAAGATTTAGAGATAATTTTAGCATTCCAAATGATTATTGTAATTTGACAAATGAAAATAAAGGCCGGTATTTAGAGTTTTTCCTTAAGTAATCATACCAAAGTTTTGAAAATTATATGAAATTTTTAAAATTTCAGTAAAACTTCTTCTCATTATGAAACTCAGGCTCGACTCATTGGACTTCGATATATGATGAAACTGTCACAAGGGAAGTGAATAGAAAAGTGTAATACAAATTCAATGGTTTAGAGAATAGCATGTTTTCGTGAGCTATTAAATATATTAATTTTCAGCACCTTAAAGAAATCTTCTCTCGAAAACCATTTATAATAAATTCTCATAACACAACATATTTCATTTCATTCTATATACATTAAGGATATACAATAAAGTGTCCATTTAATTATACTTTCAATAATGTGTTTTCTGTTTATATTGAGCTCATGCATATTTCCAAATAAAATATAAACAATTTTCCTTTTCATATATTAAACCACAAAAAATATATTTTTTCACAATTCTGATGAAGTGCAAATATATGTTCTTATTTTTATTCTATTTTTTAGCCTCTACGGATATTGTTACCACATCTGCAGGCTTTGGTTTGAATATATTTTTTCAAAAATATTTCCATTCTATAACAAATATCAGCACTTAGTATCGCTAGCACCACTACAACTAGAAGCTATTTCTCTGGGGGTATAGTGTAGAAAAATGGTTTCACTTAATTTAGTTACACTAGAATAAACATTATTAGAACAACACAAAGAGACACTTCTCAACTAAACATACAAAAGGACAAACACTTCACATACAAATAGATAAAAATTCACATACACCAGGACGTACATACATATAACATATGAAAAACTGGAAAAAGGAAATTGATGTTGCAAACAAAAACATAACATAACCTACTCTAATGTAAATAAGAATCTCAATGGTTGAATGTAAATATGTGTGTATGTATATATGCTTTTGAATATCTAGTGGGGAAATAGTGAAACGAATAATAATAAGTGTAAAAGTATGTAAGTATAATGGAATGCAAAGAGGAATAATAAACAGAAAGTTTAAGAAAATAAAAGTTGGCGAAAAAAAAAAAAAAATAAGAATTCTTAACTCAGCACAATCGAAGCCGAGTGTACAGTGCCCTTCAACGTAAATTTATCGTTAAATTAAATTATTTTGTAATAAAGAGAAATTGGTAAGATAATAATTAACCTAAAATAAATATAAATATGTGTCAGATATAATTATTTCAGATTATTATTATAGCACATACAACTTACTTATAGTGAAATATATAGAGATAAAATGTTTGTGTTGTTGGGTTTACACCCACTTTAATGTAAACATTTAATGTAAAATCTGGAGTTAAGAGCTGATATATTAAGTAAGTATATATATTTACAGTTTGAACACAGATTTATACCTAGGGAAAAATCGAATTGATAGTTTTATGAGAACCTTAATCACGCTAGCAAATTCCATCATGATTTGTCCGTAATTGACCCATGATTTACTAAAGCCCTCTAGGGGATTAGGTCAATTCATGGTGATAAAGTCTGTAACATTGAGAAATATTTATTCAATGTTACACTCAAATTTAGTCAAAACTATACATGACAAATTTAAGAAAATTCCGAAAAAAATATATTACAAATAATTGTAATCGTTTATTGCTCAATTACACATTTCAAGTAATTGTAATTGACCACATAATGTATTATCTGTTACACTTAGTGTTAAAGTCGATATTATCGTTAAAACGCTTTCTAAACATGATTTTATATGGGGGCTACATAAAATCGTGGACAGTTGGCCATTTTCAATACCAAACAAATTGCATTGACTAAAAATATTTGGGCAAAATTTTAGCTCAACTGGCGGACATTGCTAGAACTTCTTAGAATCTTATAGGGACCCAGAATATATGAATGTACTTTTATCATTTATGTACATTTTAACTGGAGTTTTTCTGATGTTTATAACGCATAGAATTACAGGTTCTACATTCATCTTAAAGTATACCATTTGGCTTAGAATCACTTCCTGAGATATGACGGCTTTAGAGCTCGTAATTATATATATATAAAGTTGACTTATGAAAACCACATTAACGCACATAACTCACTAATAAATAACGATATATGAATAATATTCGATGTGAATACATTTTATAAATAAATTTTTTCTATGGTTGGTCCAACCCAGTCAACATTTTCATTACCATGCTAAAATTTACTTACACAATAGCATTTTAAGTCATTTTTTTAACACGGTGATGTGATTGGAGGCAAGTACTTACCACAAATGATTACAAAATAATTAGAAAAAGTAGTCATTGTATTGTGTGTTATGTAAATATTTCCTAATTCATTAGTTATCTTGCCAGTGCAGATATAGAAGCTGCGATTTTCAATGCCTTTTTCTACTTTTTCTAATTACTTGTAATCTCATGTGGTAAGTACCTACTTGCTTCCAATAACATCTATTGTGTATAGCATTTCAACCCCTTACATGGTAATGGAAATTTCTACTGGGAGGTCTTGGCTGTATATACTCTATAGCTTAGTTTTGTGTAAAAATTAAACTAAAATTTAGTTCATTATCGATATTCTAATAGTAAATATATTTTCCTTCTAATAAAATTTTATTTTTTATACCCACCATCAAAAAAGATGGGGGGTGTATTGATTTTGTCATTCCGTTTGTAACACATCATAGGCCCATTCTAAGACGATCTAGCCATGTCCATCTGTCTGTCTGTTGAAAGCACGATAAAGTTCGAACGGAAAAAGCTAGATTCCGCAAATATTCCTTATAGGTAAGGTTTGTTTGATATTGAATATGGGCAATATCGGCCAACGTTTTCGCTTAGCCCCCATATAAGTGGACCACCGAATAACACCTTTAACAGGCATAACTGCTTAAAAGTAGGATTATAGCAATAAATTTCGACATAGCTAAGTTTCATATGATCAAAAATCTCTATACCAAATTTTATGAGAATCGGCCAATAATTGACTCTGCCCGCCATTTAAGATCCCATTCAGAAAATGAGTTTAACGTTCATTACTAGCATAAAAATTCGAGTATAGCGATGAAATTTGACATATATAAGTTTCTACCAATTTTTTTGAGGATCTGTCCATAATTGATCATACACCCCATATAAGATCCTCTTTAGAAAATGAGTTTAACGGTCATTACTGACTAAAAATTATGAGTATTGCGATGAAATCTGACATGAGTAAGTTTCTGAAGAACCAACACCTTTTCACTTATTTTTATGATAATCGGCCCATAATTGACCCTACCCCCTATAAGGTCTCCTTCAGAAAATTACTTTAACGCTCATTACTGGCGTAAAAATGAGAGTATAGAGATGAAATTCGAAAAAAATAAGTAATATACGAATCGAAACCTTTCTATTAAATTTTACGACAATCGCTCCATAATTCATGGTTTAAAAATTGAACAAAAATATAATGTTTTTAAAAATTAATATTTTGTTAATTCGAAAGAGCTTGGTCCATAATTAATTTAAGCCATATTTCACATATCACCCTGATGTATGTATTTAGGGGAGCATTCCTTTTAGGGCGTACGGCTTGATGGTGGTTATATGAGATTCGACATAGACGAATATAACAGTCTCACTTGTTTAATTTTAGACTCATTTCTTACTATTTAATCGATTAAGCCTTAGTTTAAGATTTTTGAAAAATTTATGTTATATATTTCATGAGTTTATTTTTAAAATTTTCATTAAATGTATAAACATTTTTCATTTGTGTAATTGAAAAATTCTGTTATAAAAAAATTTCTTTTATTCACAATATAAATAATTAAAACTTTGAAAGAAGAAAATAATAAAAATGCTTTTACAGCTTTTAATTTTGTTGTACAAAAATTTCGCCGAAACTTTTTTGAAATTTTGTTATGTGATTTATTTTAAAAATTTTCCTGTAAAAATTGTTGAAAAAAACTTTATTTGTGAAGATGAAGCACTCAAGTCTTTTGTGTTTAACAAAGTTTTTTTATTTTAAATTTCTTTTATAAATTTGTTTAGATTTTATTTTATGATTCATACACAATTCATAAGTAATTTATAACTTCATTAAATTTGAATTTCTACTCAATTCTTTTAAGACTTTAAAAAGTTTAACTTTTAAGAAAAAAATTCCACAGCATCTATGAACCCTTTAAACACATTTTGATTTCCTCTTAAACTTATCCTATTTCATTGAACTTTAAGTATTAAACACTTGAGGTTTATTTTCATATATTTGTTGTTGTTTTTGTTTTAACTTTCAAAGAGAATAAATAACTAACAAAGTAAATAATAATAAAAATGTGTATTATTTACTTGTACCCAAGGGAATTTATTTAACGTCGTAATTATTTACCTTTTAAAAATCAGTGATCTGTATCCAATTAATTTAAAATTTTAATTACACTCACACTAGTACAAAACATGTAGAAAACATAAACAAGAATTTATTTTATATTTAAAAGGTTTCACTTAATTATATTAATATAATTGTTATAGCTATTGCACATTTTAAATTGGTTATTTTAAAAATATTTAATGAGCAATTTATTATTTAAATTTTTACTTATTATTTTAAAAATTTTTATTATTATTTTAAAATACTTATGAATATTTGCAAATTTTGATCTTCAATTATTTCAACTTTTAATAACTGCTTCTAGAATATATATTTTTTAATTGATTTAAATTTAACACTTTTTCTTGAGATATTTTACATCATCACCATCACTTCTCTTATATTTCTAATTACTTTTCTTTTTATTTTGTGTGATATTATTACTTATTTTTTGCTTTTTTAACTTTTCGTTGCACCGTTGCTCCTTTACGGGCTATGAACTGTTTGAAAGTACACGTGTGACTGAATGAGATTTTCCAGCAGCGTCTCAGATTAGCAGCTATAAAACATATTTTTCGATCATATTGCATGTTAACGCAGGCGCTTTCAAATCATTGATTTGTTTTGATTCCTTTTTACATTGTTTACGTTTTACAAGAGCCACTCATGTACTTTAAGGATAGAATTTAGCTGTTACTTTAGTTGTTGTTTTCTTAAAGCAATGTTACTTAACACTTTAAGGTAACATTTATGTAGAGCTTTACAGTTTGTACTACGGTACGTATGATTGATAAAATGAGAAAATGTTAAGTATACGCCGTGTAATGTTATTTATTCTCTTGTCCGCTATTCTCTTGCAGGATTTTTAACGAAAGGAAAGTAACAAAATAAAGTACTTTTATAAAAAGAATTGTGAACATAAGTAGTAAAATAGAAAATGTTAAATATTTCTATATAATATTATATATATAGGCAATTGTGACGAATTGTCAAGTGACGAAAATGTCACAATTTGACCACCTCTAACTCCGATAGTTCTTGACCGATAGAGCTGGTGCAAAATTTTAAGTTGGGTCACTTGACACAAATTGCCCATATATGAAAAATAATGTCCAATTATGACCCGATTACAATAAATTAAAACAGTATTTTTGAGTTTTCTAACGTTCGCAAGGAAGCGAAGAGAGGATCAATATGATATTGAGTCAAATATCTTAAAATTATCAAAGCTATTTTTAGAAAGGATGGTCTTTGAGTTATGCTAGTCTGTTAATAAGTGAAAAAATGTCCAAATCTGGATTTCAACTACTTACTTTTGAAGTATTTTACCAGCTGTGAGAGATATGCGAATATCGAAAAACATTGCTCATTTTTGGGGATTGAAGATGGGGGTACATTGATTTTGTCATTCCATTTACAACACATCGAAATATTGGTCATAGACCCATACAAGTATATTTATTCTGGATCCTTATTAAATTCTAAGAGGATCTTAAATCACGATAAGGACCACACGGGAGGAGCTAGACAGTTGAAATTGCGATGGAATTCGTTATAAGTAAGTTTTTTACGAGCCAGAACCTCCATACCAATTTTTTTAGGAATAAAGTGACGAAAATCTCTCTACCAAATTTAGTGAGGATCGGTCCATAATTGACCCTACCGCCCATAAAAGGTCCCCTTCAGAAAATGACTTTAACACTGATTACTGGCTAAAAAAATACGAATATAGCAATAAATTTTCCTCGCGAGCCAAAATCTCTCTTCCAAATTTTATGTGCATCGGTGCACAATCGACTCTACCCCACATATGGTTTACCCTTAAGAAAATGGCTTTAACGCTCATTACTGGCTTAAAAATACGAGTAAAGCGATGAAATGCGACACATGTAAATTTCTTACGAGACAAAACCTTTCAACCATTTTGTTTAGGATCGGCCCATATATGAGATTCGGCACAGCCGAATATAACACTCTCACTTGTTCGTTCTTATATTTTCTATAAAGAAAGAAAAAACCTTTTATTATACATATTTTATATACAATATATTTAGAAGTTTGGAACTTTTGTGTGATTTCAAAATTATGATAAATGCTACTTGAAAATTAGAGAATGAGACTCCTGGAGAATTTTATGTAAACTGTAGTGAACTTTTCCAAAACCCATGTCTAATCAGAATCAGTGGTTAATAACACGGGCAGGAGATTTGATATTACGTACCTAGGACATCACAATGTTAAATGGAACATATTATTTTTCTTACATGACACTAAAATCTAAGGTTCTTCTAAAGGCACTTTCATCGAAACCCAACTGTGAATAACTATTGTCACACAATCTGGTTCTTATGCAAAAAAAGTTATTCAATGTATACTGGACGTATTGGATAAACAAGCCCGATCGCACACCTAGGCTTTAAATTGGGAGATAAAATGGAATCCAGACACATGGAAAACACGGAAACCACAATCTCAACAGTAGGTTCCAAACGGAAGTCTGTGCTGTGACGGAATATGTTAAATGGATTGGACTAACTATGGCGATAACAAAGGTTAACAAACATACATATTAACCCACTGCCAGAAGATAATTAGAGCGAAATCAGCGATTCAATCTGAGAATCATGGGAAGAGAGCCAAGCGAGCATTCAGAGAGGTCGGTTAGGCTCTAGAACATTCTGCAAATTGCCAGACTTTCGTCAAAAGTATAACCAAATAACTTGAAAACTATGCTAATTCCTGATATGCAACCTTCAGAATTTAAAATTCTAGGTTATGTTAGGTTGATAGGACGATGTATACTACATCAAATCCGAAAAAATACACCTAGTCCGCTATCAGGCCTGTTGTGCGCTCCTTATCATGAAAAAAGTTCACTGAATGAATTATTTTTCAGTGTTCAGAAACTCAGTTTCCTGAACGTAATTTCTAAGAATCATCCAATCAGTGTTAGTCAGGAATATTATTTCCGGAATAACATCACTTCCAAGATACTTGGATCTAACTTCGACGAATGCCTAGCAGTGGCAAAGAAAGTGCTCCAGAGTTTCCTCTCCACAGGCTCTACATCGTCTGAATCAACACCCATATTTTTAGCTCAGCTTGTGTTGCGTCAAATGGGTTTGCTTTTGTCAGGTTAACTGCCTCGAGCTCCCTTTCCTTTAAAACTATTACATTCGCCCTTTCGTTGCCTTACCTGATTTGGTAAACGGTGGTATATTTCTGTTTGTGGGTCTTCAATATATAACCCCACCCCCACTTTGTCCCCCAATTTAGAGCCATCCGTGTAACAACGGATTCCAAGACATTATATCTGGGATCAGCGTTTCAAAGTTTCCGACATATTCTGTGTCTGGTATACGATCAGGCACGTCCGATGATTGTGTGTAACATTCCAATGTGTCCAGTATACATTGGTGACGTGTCCTATAACCGCTTTTGGCCAGTTCGCCTAAAGTAAAGAGCCGTTCGGCTGTAAGCGCCGCCTCATATCTTAAATATGTTTCAATGGGTGGAATATCTACCAACGTTTCCAGAGGCTTGGTTGAAGTAGTACACATGGCAACACTTATACCCAAGCAACTAAAATCCCTGTACTAGTTTGGTATTGTATTTTTTGTCTAAAGCAGTCCACCAGATTATTGAAGCATAAGCTGAAATTGCTCTAATTCAGCCAAGCGCAGAAAGAGAGACGCTAAGAAACTGTTATTGTAGTGGTGAGAAAATACTAAAAAACAAAAATATTGCCTAATTACGCTTGTTATGATCAAAATTCATAACAAGTAAAATAGTAAATTTTACAGATAAAACACGCTCTTGCTATGAGTTTTGCTTACGATCGGGTAGTGTACGTGTGAATTGCCGAAAATCTTCGTAATTTGAACAATATGAACGCGCAACGCTGCTCTAATTACACTTTTATAAAACTAAATTGTCATAGTAGGACTAAGACCCCATTTCATGCCTATAGTTCTCCTACATATCGCCGAGCACCGATGTGCCTTGTTGATCCTATCCTCTATGTGGTATCTCCATTTTAATTTCAGGTCGAGGATTACACCTTAACAAAATGCCGCCCTGTGGTACACCGCGAAATACCTTTTTCCTGATAGTTAAATCGTACATCTCGCAGTTTATCCATCTGTTCCTTGGCATGTTGTTGATCAAGTTACGGAGCACCCGGTCAACATAAAACTGGTTTAGGGATTGGATAAGAGTATCAGTGTGCACGTTATTGAAAGCGCCTTCGATTTCAATGCATACCGCCAGTGCATACAGTTTGATATCAAAGGATGCACCTACATATGTAGTGGACAACTTCGTTTAAAGCGGTTTTCACCTATCGTCCCTTTCAATCTTCAGAATTTAATTTAATTCTAAGGGACTAAATTTCTGATAATTTTTCATAAATCGCTATATAATGTTTTTCCAAAAACATTTTCCACGAAAAGGAGTGCACAAACAAGCCCAATAGCGTCGTAAGTCTAGTTTTTCGTATCAGATGAGCTAACCCAAACATACTATTTTTTGTCAAAGAATCGAAATGAGTCAATGCTATTTAAGATCTAAACCTCAATTGTGCAAGTTATGTATTTCTGTCGTCTGCTTATGAGATTACTTTCGACCACTATGGATCTCCAGGGACCACTACACAGAAAAAATTATCAGTAGTCATTTTAGTTTTTTTTTAAATATTTTATTTTGATTTCTTATGCTAACAATGTTTATAATTCTTAAATAGTCAATACGATTTTAGGCATATAATATTCAAGTTTCATGACAATTTATAAAACACTTTATATGTTCAAATTTGATAATAAAGTGATATTTTTTGTAAATGCTCAATGCATTGTTAAAGGTCAAGCATTCCTTTAACATTGTGAGTAATCAACTAATAATTTGATTGTTTTAATCATGTACTTAATTGGTTTTTAATACATTTTTTACCAAACAAACTAATTCATTTGATTAATAAATTAATAAAAATTAGATTTTATTTTTATTAAATATTTAATTTATACAATTACTGAATTAATCAATTTTAAATTTTGTCTCAATTATTGATATTAATTGTTCTGATTAATTTGTTATTTGGAAAAAAAAGTATTTTTTTTTAATTTTTTTACAAATTTGATAATTGATATCATCATTTTGGTGATAGGTGCAAAACTTGCTTGATACAATTATTTTGATAATTGAAACATATTTTTAGTTTTTTCTGTGTATCAGTTAAGAAGACAATATAAAATAGCTTGTTAAAGTATACTCGGTTTTGAGGACTTGTATATATACTCTGCGAACGACTAATTGCAAAGATATACTGGAAAAATCTGGTATAGCTTTTGATGTTTCAAATTCTACTATAATAATTTTTCTACGAGCTCTAAGACATCCATGTAGAGGGTTGTTCTTTCAACTAAAAAACTATACTCAATGTTTGGTTTCAAAATTGTTACAATTGTAGGATTCAGAAAGGAATTCTTTGTCTGCTGGTACACTTTAAG